TGAGAGAAAAACAGATACTTTACAAATCATTTTTGAGACTGATCCATCAACTATCTTGATAGTGAAGTTTTCAGGACAAGAAGTGAGATTTTAGATGAGAGACATTACTAGTCGTACGATCAAAGGCTCTTCTAGCATTGATTATCTATGAATTTTTCTTGTCCATCCTATAAGTAAGATTTTAGGCATGCAACAGGACATGCATAGAAAGCATGTGTGTACCAAGAAGACAAGGGAGCAAAGTCGGTTGCATCATTGGAAGGAGATAAATGGGACAAGTTCATGTGCTGGAGTGGCTTTATTAGAGCATGAATGTAGGAGTAGAGTTACATGTCGACAACAGGGCAAAGGTAGAGGTAGGGAAAAACAGAGGTTTGTGAATTCTGTTGGTTTTCTCTTTCTTTAATAGAAGTAAGAGCGTAGTTGGCACCAAGGTTGAAAAGCTGAATCAATTGTATATTGTTAAGGAGCATATACATTGTTATATGTAGTTTAAGAGAAAAAATAGAAAACTAATTGATAACAAGTCAAATCAAATCCTTTCAGGCTAATTAGATCTGGAAGTCAAAGGCTCCATTGGGAATTGCATTGACAAACTAATGCGAAGGGGAAAATTCTAGTAAACTAATGTTTCTTATGTGAGATGGACACAGAATTTTTGCAACCATATCCTTCTTTGGTGCCTGTTTGTGCATAACTTACAGTGTATGGTGTATGGTGTATGGTGTATGGGCTTCTATGGATTAAGTGGGTGATGGCGGGGTTGGTTAAGAATAAGTTTTGGGCGTGGGCGGAAATTTGTAATAAGAAAAGCTATCTTAAGCTTGTCCGTTTATCTATTTTTTGGATGATATGAAAGGAAAGGAATTCTGGAGCTTTTGATGGGATTGAGGGGGAGATTGTTAATATTAGAGATAGATGGTTAAACACTTTTGGTACTTTTGTTTCCGGTCACAACACATAGGATGAAAGATTTTGAGAATGTCATTGATCTTCTAACTGAATTGTAAATTCTTTTGTATACAAGTGGTACCCCTTTGGCACCTTTGGTAATATATATATTTTACACTTTTTATCTAAAAGAAAAAAAAAATCAAATCAAATCCCTATATCGATAGGCTTCTCTAACTGGTATCCCATAGTTCTAAAATGTTGATGAAGCTTCCTGACATTAGTGACTGAAGATTGAGGGGCTTTCCAACAGTGTGCCTAGTTATTGACGTTTTAGTTAGTTTGTTGCTATTTTCAGTTTCCAACAAACAGAATTCTAATCAAATGAAGTTTTAGATTTTGATTAGTTGTTTGCTGGCTTCGAGCAGGAATCCTATGCACTTTTTTGATACCTGTTTTTGGTACTAAAGATGTAATTTTCAGGAAGTTTGCAGTAGGATTGTCTTGTATTTCTCTGGCTTTCTTCCCAACAGTGTGCCTAGTTATTGACATTTTAGTTAGTTTGTTGCTATTTTCAGTTTCCAACAAACATGATCCTATTTAAATTGACGTTTGAGATTTTGATTAGTTGTTAGCTGGCTTTTAGCAGGAATTTGTATGCACTGTTTGATACCTGTTTTTGGTACTAAAGATGTATTTTTCAGGAGGTTTGCAGTAGGGTTGTCTTGTATTTCTCTGGCTTTTTAAATAACATACTAAATGAAGTGAGCAGTCTGCCATTTTTTGCAGCACATTTTTGGATTCTCCTTTATCTTTTGTTTTATTATTCAGGAGGGTGGTTATTTTAAAAAAATATTCAGGAGGGTGGTAACTGTAAACATTCAGGAAGTTGATATAATGGTTTAAATGCTAGGTACTTGTTATTTTCAATAGTTTATGGTAACCTATGTCCAGTCTATTTTGCTGCTAAACAAAAAGTTTGTTGTTATTTTAGTTGTTTACATTTCCGTCTTACTTCCTAAGCATTTGTTTTAAGCAATTTGTATATTGAACACAGTCAATCAGTGAATCATTTTCTTTTGCAGCTTGACATTCGTGATAAATTTATCCTATATTGGCCAGCTGAGCTATACACTGCTGTTCCAAGTCGACCCTTCTTTCCAAGGGGATTTTTGTGGGATGAAGGTTTTCACCAATTGTTGATCTGGTTAGTGATGCAGGGCCATCATATACCTTTTTTTAATCATATGACCAGTATAGGCATATTATGTTTCTTAAAGTTTTATTTTATCTCTACTTTTCTAATTTTTATCCTGTTCTGCTACACAGTTAGGCTGCTGTATGTTATATTTTCATTTTCTTGTTTCCTTAAGTGCAGATCTTTTACTTGTGCCTTTCCAGAAATACCCTACAGTTTATCTTACATTATAAAGTTAATGGATTCGTCTAACTAACTACTTGTATTGAAAATATATCGCCTGTGCTAATGTTGAGCAGGCGCTGGGATATTCACATATGCTTTGATATTATTGGACACTGGTTAGATTTGATGAATATTGATGGATGGATACCACGTGAGCAAATACTAGGTGCTGAAGCTCTGAGGTAAAATGGTTCTGTTAACTATGTGCACTAACTCTGAAGTTTGAAGTTTACTAGTGAGGACGTCATGTGGTTTTTGATTTTTATGCAGTAAAGTCCCAGATGAATTTGTGATTCAGCATCCGAGTAATGGTAATCCACCAACTCTATTTTTGGTGTTGCATGGTAAGATTTTTCTCTATCAAATTTAACTACAGTTACATCATTGTCTTTTAGCCATCCTGCATATCTCTTTTATGTTGGATGAAGATTACTTTGTGAATGTGAAGTCATGATTGGTGTTGATAGAAAATATCTCGCTCTTTTATTTGGAGGAATGATGAAGACTTATACATGTGAAAGAATTAATCATATTAGTAATCATCCCAAAAGTCAAGCTGATATGAAAAGATTCAATCTAGTATTCATATTGTAGCATGCTTACTTACAAGAACAGGAATTAGGTACAAATCCATTTCTAAACTTGTGCTGAAATTTAATTAGTAAAATGAAATAATAGTTAGGATTCAAACACTAGAGCACTAGTTTTGATATCATTTAAAATAAGATGCCATTTAAAATAATTGATTGTTATTAATTATGTCAAAAATTTAAATTGGTAGAAATGGCTTATTTTATTTTTTAACTTTATTATACAGAGATGATTGACTGTTAGCCTATTTTCTGGCTATCTTTCCCATAATTACGAAAATCAATGAATGTTTATAAATGTATTGACGGCCATGTATACATCCTATATATTTACACAGTCCTCTCAAACTGCCATATACCGAACTTTATATTCGAGGCAAGTTCACCACATTTATTTTATTTTCCGTCTGCTCAGATTCTCGGAGAAATTCGACCAGATCCGGATTATATATAAGAATACATTTTATATATACACATCAAATTAAAATATATATAAAATATATTTTTAAATAAAATTAAAAAATATATTATATACGTCAAATTAAGAAAATATATTATATATCTCTGATTAAAATTTTAAAAAAATTATATTTTATATATAACCGGATTGGGTTTGACCATGTTTTTTCTTCTAAACTTGAACCTGGACTGACCTGGATTTAATAAAAAAATTAACCTGACCCAACATCGCTTATTTTTTCTTTAGAAGTATGGGACAGGTTGTGGCGGAGTCTACTGGGTCCCGACTTTTACTATTGTCGCTACTTAAGAGAATATTTTATTGTCTGTCATTGTACTTGGCTCTCTTCTTGTCCTTAATAATACTTCTTTATCTGTCCAAAAAGAAAAGGTAAAGTTACCAGCAAAGTTGTCTTTGAATTTGAAGGTTGATGAGAAGGTAGGAAAAACTAAAATATTTTGCAAATTTTCTTCTCGGTTTGCTCCACTGATCTAATATCAGTAAACTTATCATCTCTGGGAGCATGTTGATAAGTCTCAGCATCATCTTCACCATGAACTTGTTTATCACAAGAACCTATCTTTTCAACTTCTTTCTCTTTGTTTTGGGACTCGTTGCGATGTACTTCCTCTACTTGTTCTTCTATTATATCTTTAGCCTATTTTTCCATTCTTTTTCTTTTTTTGCATAGCTCTAGCTCATGTTGTGACTCTTCATTTTGTACAAACATTTCAAATTTTTTCTTTCTTGTCATCTCAGATGTGAGGTCTTTTTTGAATTGGTTAAGAAGTTTGTTCATTTACTTTATAAGCTTTGTATGATTTTGTCTTGCAAAATAAGTTCTTTTTACTATTCCTATAAATTACATAAATATCTATTTTGCGACTATAAAAGATATGTATTAAATTCCCATGCGTCTCCCAATGATGAATGACAAAATTTCATGTCATTCACTATAGACTTCATCTTCACAAGACTTTCCAATAGAAAAAAGAAATTTGGCGACATTCACTTTAGCATTACCATCTAG